CATCTATTTTCCAGCAACTAATGGATACCATCCTATCAGGTATCTCGGGAGTCGCGGCTTATTTGGATGACATTTTAATTGTAGCAACGACATTAGAACAGCTACGAGAACGCACGACATTGGTACTGCAACGCATCAGTGACAACGGTTTCCGGTTACGCCTAGAGAAATGCCAGTTTTATTTGCAGTCGGTAAAATACTTGGGGTTCATTTTCGATGCCGACGGCCGCAGGCCGGATCCTGAGAATATCCGAGCTATCAAACTGATGCCAACTCCTACTAATGTCTCGTCACTACGTTCCTTCCTGGGACTTGTCAGCTATTACTCAGCGTTCGTTCCATCGATGCATGATATTCGCGCTCCACTGAATAGCTTACTGCAGAAGAACAGCTCTTGGAACTGGACTAAACAGTGTGACGCTGCCTTTTGTAAACTGAAGTCCATTATTAGTTCGGAATTGCTGTTGACACACTACGATCCAGCCATGCCGATCATCGTAGCTGCAGACGCTTCCGCCTATGGCCTAGGCGCTGTTATCTCCCATCAGTTCCCGGACGCATCGGAAAAAGCCGTTATGCATGCTGCCCGCACACTAACCCCAGCAGAAAAAAAATACAGCCAGATAGAAAAAGAAGCTCTTGCGCTTGTGTTTGCTGTGCGCCGTTTCCACAAGTTCCTGTACGGTCGGAGATTCACGCTTCTCACAGATCACAAGCCTTTACTCGCAATATTCGGGTCGAAATCTGGCATTCCAGCCCATTCAGCAAATCGTCTTCAGAGATGGGCCTTAGCACTCTTGGGGTATGATTTCGAAATCCAGTACCGACGCACTCAACAATTCGGTCAGGCGGATGCCTTATCACGGCTCATTAGTGACCAGTTGGCGGCTGAGGAAAACACGGTAATCGCATCTCTGCTAGCGGAAGACCACGCCGAATGTTATCTGACGACCGCAATACGAACTTTGCCGGTATCTGCAGTGGACATACAAAATGCTTCTAAGAGCGACCCCATCATCAGGATGACTATGAGCTATGTCACCAACGGTTGGCCGTCTAAGAAGTTTGATGGTGATATAAAACAGCTGTATCAGCGGCGGGATTCTCTATGCATTGTAAACGACTGCTTGATGTTCGGAGAGAGAGTGGTTGTGCCAGAATCCCTTCGTGCAAAAGTGCTGAAACAGTTCCACCTTGGTCATCCGGGGTTAGACGAATGAAATCCATAGCCAGGAGTCATGCGTATTGGCCGCTAATGGATCAACATATAACAGAATTGGTTGGAAAATGTATGCGGTGTCAGCAAGCAGCAAAAGTAAACGCCAAAGTTCCACCAGTTTCATGGCCACAACCTGATCATCCTTGGTCCAGGATACACGTCGACTTTGCAGGCCCGATTAACGGAACCATGTATCTAGTTGTAGTCGACGCCCTTTCGAAATGGCCTGAAATCAACCCTATCATACCGCCAACAACGAGTAAAACAATACAGATCCTCACAGAAATTTTCTCCCGAAATGGTATACCAGATGCCATTGTATCTGATAACGGTTCACAGTTTACCTCAAGCCAATTCCAGTCATTCTGTCAACGACTAGCCATAAAACACTTACGGACCAGAATAGTCTATCGAGATTCTGAATCCCTGATCCGATCGATAAGTCACTGTCATATAATCGGCGCCCCTTTTGAGGCATAACAATTCGTTGGAGCCGATCTATTCAGGAGTTCTTCAAAGTACTCTACCCATCTGTTCCTCTGTCTTTGAATTTCAGTGATTGGCCTTCCTTCTTTGTCCTTAACCGGTCTCTCTGGTTTACTATATCTCCCTGCTAGTTTCTTCGTTGTATCATATATTTGTTTCATATTTCCTTATCTTGCAGCCTTTTCCACCGTCGTTGCTAGTTGCTCTACGTATTTCTGCTTGTCCGCTTTAATGCTCTTCTTCACTTGCTTGTTTGTTTTTGTGTACTCAGCTTGTGCCTTGACTTTCTCAGCTCGTATTCGTCTGTTGTTAATTCCTGTCTTCTTGTTCATCCGTTCCTTTATCCTGTCCAGTGTTTCTATAGAGTTCCACTATTTAAGACAGAGCTTCTTGCGGCCAGAACCTGCTGTCACGTTGAAGCTAATGCTTCTTTGATACCTTTCCAGTTGTCCTTCATAATAGCTTATACTTCCTTCAGTAGATCCTGTAAGGCGTCGAACCCGTTGTTGGAAACTATCTTGAATTCTTTGAATTTTTTCGCATCTGAGAGAAAGGCTTGATTTGTAACGCAGTTGAGTGCTTTCCTCAATGTGTGTCCTATCCAATTCTAGCGCTTTTTCTTGATTTCTTCCTCCGCTGGAGTCTGGTTTGTTCTCTCCCACAGTAGGTTGTTGCTGGTAGTGTCTGGCCAACGGATCCGAAGTATTTTGCGTAGACAACTATTATTCTGGATGACGGTTCTCGTAGTTCTTCAAGTTTCCGCCCCATACAGTAGAACTATCTTGACATTTGTATTGAAAATTCTCATTTCGGTGTTGGTTGACATACCGTTGTTTTGAATTTGAAATGTTCTTCGGTTGTAAACATGCTGCTCTTGCTTTGTCGATCCTCGCCTTCACATCTGCATCAGATCCACCCTGTTCATCAATGATGCTGCCCAAATATGTAAAGGTTTTTACATGTTCCAAATCTTCTCCAACAAGTGTGATTCGATTGGTGTATGCTTGCTTTACCCTTTGTGTATGTTGAGACCTACTGCTGCTGAGGCTGCTGCTGCTACACTGGTCGTCTTCTCCTGCATTTGTTATTGCGTTTGCGATAGAAGAGCCAGATCATCTGCGAAGTCTAGATCGTCCAGCTGCATTCTAGCTGTTCACTGTATCCCGTGCTTCCCCTCAGGTGTTGACGTCTTCATGATCCAGTCGATCACCAGGAGAAAGCGAAAGGGTGAGAGTAAGCAACCTTGCCTAACAACGGTCTTTACTTCGAACGACTTTGTCAACTGTCCTCCATGCACGATTTTGCAGTTGAATCCATCATATGAACTCTGTGTGATATTGACTATCTTCTGAGGCACGCCGTAGTGTCGAAGAAGTTTCCATAGTGTTGTTCTGTCCACGCTATCAAATTGCTTTTTGTAGTCAATGAAGTTGATGTAGAGTGATGAATTCCATTCAACTGATTGTTCCACAATGATCCGTAGAGTTGCTATTTGGTCTGTACACGATCTATCCTTACGGAATCCAGCCTGTTGGTCACGAAGTTGGGCGTCTACGTTTGTCGGTTCTGATGCTCCTCTTAAATTGTTTGTTTACTTCTGTGTATTCAGCTTGTGCCTTGGCTTCTTCTGTTCTTGTTCGGCTTGTATTGATTGCTGTCTTTCTGTCCCTCCTTTCTTGAATCTTATCCAGTGTATCAACAGTGATCCATTCCTTGTGGTGGTGTTCTTATGGCCTAGAACCTCATGACATGTTGAAGTGATTGCCTCTTTGATGCCTTTCCAGTTGCTCTCCATAATAGTTCCTTCTCCGTTGAGTAGATCATGAAAGGCCTGGAATCTATTGCTGAGGACTATCTTGAATTTGTTGAGTTTGTCAGTATCCTGAAGAAAGGCCATATTAAACCTTTGTGCTGTTGTCCACCCCATTTTCCGGTGCTTCTTGCGTTTCAATTTCATCTTGGCGACCAGCAAGTGGTGATCTGATGCTATATAAGCTCCTCTCTTGGTTCGCACGTCCTCCATCGTCCTCCTGAACTTTTTGTTGATGCAGATGTGGTCGATTTGGTTTTGTGTAGTGTGATCCGGTGAAGTCCATGTGGTTTTGTGTATGCGTTTATGTGGGAATATAGTGCCGCCTATGACCAGTTTATTGAAAGCACATAGGTTTGCAAATCTCTCACCATTTTTGTTCGCTTCTCTCAGTCGATGTCTTCCCATGATAACTTCATATTCAGTGTTGTTCATTCCAACCTCGGCATTGAAATCTCCCATGAAAATGGTCAAATCCTTTGTTGGGAATTTCTCAACGATTAACCGCAGCCTATCGCGGAATTGATCTTTGACGTCTTCATTGTAATCGTTGGAAGGCGCATAGCATTGGATAACGTTCATTGAGATACCCTCTTTCTTTGTTTTGAAGGAGGCATTGATGATCTTTGGTCCATGAGATTCCCATCCTACAAGTGCATTTTGTGCTTGTTTGGATAGCATCAGTGCAACGCCTTATGTATGTGGGGCATTTTCTTCTTCATGGCCGGAGTATAACAGGGGCTCTCCTGAAGTTAGTCGTTGTTTTCCAACTTGCGTCCAATGTGTTTCACTGATTCCAAGCACCTTCATGTTGTATCTTTTCATTTCTGCAACAACTTGGCTGACTCTCCCGGTCTCTCACATTGTACGAGCATTCTATTTACCTAAATTAATGGTTGCTCTGGTTGTCAGAGGAAGCACCAGCCTCGTGACTTTCGTAGGAACTCGGCTTTCACCATAAGACATCATAACTCTTTTAAATGAAGACCTTCTAACTCCCAGGGCAGAGTTTAAATAGTTTGAATAATTTTTCCTGGTTAGCGTTTTTTTAGCGAATTCGTTTTCTACGGGATGGGGTCGGTAATCCCATGCCCAAGCCTCCTCCTTTATCCGGGATTGGGACGAGCGGTAGCCACAGAGGGGTTCAGGCTGAGTTGAAGACACAATAGGTTTAAATTTAAGACTATCTTGAACGAAGCCGTGTTTTTATTTATTTTTCAATATTTGCTTGTACATAAACTCGGTCGGCTCGATTAGTGTTACATTGGTGAAATAATGTCTTCCACTAAAACTCACATCTTCCACTTAAAATCGCGTGAGGATCCTGCTCTATGCAAGACATTCGATGAGTTCCAGAATAAGAATACTCCTTTCTTATTCAGTAATAGACTCTACTACCTCTAGATAACCAGTGTATTACCTATTATAAATGGAGTAGTCGTCGTTGAAACACATTTAGAATCTAGTGTTTTGTACTCTTTACAGGTTGCTTCTTCGAATTTAATCGTTCTCAATCAATAACAGGGAATTTCTCATCACCAAATTATCCTGGATTATATCCAATTGATATCATTTGTGAATATCGATTTTCTGGGCTAAACGTAAGAAGAATCGATATTGCATTCTTGGAATTTGATGTAGAAAGTAGTTCTAAAACGTAAGTGGTTGATTTTAATCGTATGGAAGTTATCTTTTTGTTTCGTTTTCCTCTATAAGCACAGACCATTGAAGATTTATCGAATTATCTTAGATTTTTCACTAGAAATGAACTTCTTAATAGCTCAAACATAAGTCTAACAGCCACTGAGATTCCTTCTTAATTCCTTGAAATATCCGAAAGCTAGGAAAACTGTCGAAATTACTCTAATTAATCAATACCTGTAGGAAACTTATATGAAAAATCTGGTAGACGACTGAATATGCTTTCATCACCTTTATTAAACAATTATCAACTTCTTAATCAATTTTAGTATGTATTCTCGAAGCTCCTTAAATCTCATTATATCTGCTAGCCTTATTAACTTTCTGGTTTCTGTATAATATCTAACCTTTGAAGTAAACTTCCTTGTTTACAACATTCTGTTTTTTTACCTTAGTCCAAGCAATTATGGTTTTTTGGAGCTAGGGAATTTGTCTAAGCCGTTGAGATCAAGATCAACAATTTAGACAAGAGATAATAAGCCACTTAAATATAATTGATTTTCCAAATATTTTCACACGGCTTTAAAGATAAATAACTGAGAACTTTTAGAAAGCTGTTTTACTATTTTATACACTTTTATGCTACAAGAAACTTGCCTGTAAGAAAGGTAAACTATTGTTACTTTAGAAATTAGAAGAGATAAACACATATCGTCTAGTAAGCAAATTTAAACGATACCTCATCTTGGAAATAACCAGTCTTTCACAATTAACAGATACTAGTTGTCAATAAGATTGACTGTCTCAACTCTAGAAAAGATCAGTTACGTCTCGATCAGCTCACTGGTGACGTTACTGACTTCGATACTGTAAGGACGGCCCACGGGTGAACTCGAGGAATCACTAACAAGCTCAGAAAGAGCCAAAGATATTCCACCCAATCATCTTTTGGAAGAACATTCCAGAATTTCGACGTGTAGTTTCCCTGTTGGACGAATGCTAAAAACTACTGTATGCGGATCGGATGACTATAAAAATGACTTCACTTTTACTAAAAACTATAAATACCAGGGAGTTTTGTACAATATTTGACCCTATTTGAAATAGCGTTCCTTTCACTTGTCTTCTGTCTTCTCATTTGCGCCTTGGAGAGTCCTAGCGTTAAAGTGCTCAAGTTTTATGCGGTATATTAAGAATCTAAGCTCTAGATGTAACCGATACTTGTTGATGCGGTTTCCAACGACATAAAAATCACTAATTTCTTTCAATAATCCAGATACGTCTTGCCAACAAATGCTTTAAACCAGCCAGATTTGAACTTTTGAGCATAGTCTACTTTATAACAAGTTATCCTCAGTGAAGAATTAACATTGCATTATCTACTTTACAAAGCTGGCCGAGTTACGTCAAATCGACCTGAATTATGGTTATTATTCCACATTTTATTATCAACGACAAAATTAATAAAGTTCCGGTTTATATCATTATCACTGGTAGAAATAAATTTAGCCTAACTGATAGTTCACTTAGAAAAGTGACCTGAAAATCTTAGGTAAACGAAATTCAAACCAAACAAACTATCTAATAATAAAAAATGATGATGTCTTTATAATATCTTAATGAGTAGATTATAAAATTTCTGACGTCTCATGACTCAGTGCAAGTCTCTACTTCAAACAATAAATAATCCAATATATTACATTAACAGCATTTGACAAACTTCAGCCATTGCCTGATCTAGATAACTGTCTCACACTTGACATGGTTGTACTCCACTGGTCGTAATTTCTTACTAGAAATCCAAGGGTTGCATCTCGAAGGTAGCTAGTACATCCTTATTATTGGAATAGACTGACTTGAGGAGACTTGATAATTCTCGTAGTTTAAATCATGAACTGATCTTAGCGAGACCCCTACTAGAAACCTTAAAGTTTGGATGTCCGTCTCGTCTTAGTATGGGACTTCTCAGTAATCCACATAAACTACCACAGGATCAATAGATGGTTTTTTGTACAGCTTAGATGTTATTTTGCTGTAGTCTAAGTTTAACGAGTTGGCTGTCCAATACGGAAAGACACCATCTATTACCGTCAAATTGGTATAACAAACATCAAAATGATTAAAAAACGCTTTTCCAGCAATAAAAAGGCGGGTTACTGGAACTTTACATATATTACTAAATTTTAATGTCCTCAATAGAAATGAATGCCTTACCATCCATCCAACTTGGACCATTTATCACGGCTAATATATCTAAGTCTATTCACATCTCACACCGTTATCATACAAATGCAGCTACCTTTCCATTTGAAAAATATCACATTTTCCATGACCACTAACAAATGCGCATGCATGTGTCATAAGAAGCACCTTGACCCTTAATTTACGAAGTGTAAGAAATTGTATTTCCTAGTCATTGAGATATTACAAGTATATTCCTATACTAGAGCAGTTAAGAGAGCGTTTAGTGCAGCTGACCGCTGTCTATCGTGTTCGACCCCCATCTATCGTGATTCTTCGACCAAAGGATAAGTTACTGATCCTGCCACATGAATGTGTATCTACGAATCAGCTGCTCCTATTTGGTGTAATACCAGAAAACTGAGCGAACGAGTAGGTAAACTCCTTCCTTTGTCGTTAGGAGAGTGCACCGTCAAAACACTACACAACTCTGTTCTATCACACTTGATCGATAGCGTTTATGTAGTAGACAGAAATATGTCATTTAAAGAGTTATATCCTATCCCCACCAGTTTTCCTTATAATGTTCGATCCCGTTTCTTACATATTGCAGAAGCTATAGGAATCCGAACTAACAATCCAAGTTCTTGTATTCATAATAAATTTTCAATACCCTCGTCTCTTCTTTGGCCGAATCAGATCTAATAAATGACTTTATTCGTTTATTATTATTTTCCACACTCTTTGTTCGTTGATTTTTCTCCAACCTCTTTTCTCAAATATACACTTCACTGTCCAATTATCTGAACATCCCTTGATGCATAATCTTATGATTTTTAATGAATATTATTTCAGTGTTTATTTTTCAAGTCATCGACCTACTTCCTGTTATGAAACATTGATTCAAGCCTTTATTATTTTTACCACATCTAGTACACCTGACATGACACTATCAATTTTTTTACTTTTTACTTATTATGCTTATTTGTGTAATCTATTCCACTGTTATCATTGCCTCATAAACTACCTTGATCAGTTTAATAATTTTAGATCTGCATCTAGATATTCATATATATTCGAGTAAAGCCTGATGAGGATCTAATCGAGAACACTATTGTTCACTTATATATTTTTCCTAACCAGGATGGTGAATAATGTTAGCTTTTTAATTCATGAATAAGTAGCCATCATGTCAAAAAAGTAATTTTAAGTCAAGCTATTCTTCAGCTGTTCACCAGAAACTTCACACCTTCAAACATTAACATTTGTTTGGATTTACCTTAAGTTGATACAAACAAGCTGCTTAGAATCAGTTATAATGACAGTGAATAGAAATGACTAGTCAGTGAATGTATCTCATTTCAACAGAAGATCATCTGAAAACTAATTAGCTCAGTGGGAGTTTCCCAGATTCCCATCTTGATGACGCTGGTTTGAACCCCACAGGGAGGGTCTGTAACCTCAAGATTGGAGTTTTGTCTGTCGACTAGTTCCAACCACCTAATACTGACAAATAATGAACGAGACATCAAGTAGTATTAAACAAGTGTCCACATTCCAATTTTTTTCTACACATTTTTTCTCATTGACGAAGTTGTACAGATGATACTATGGGTGATAATGTTGAAATTAGTAGTTGTTATCCAACAGAATTATTCAGCACACCAAAACGTCGATTATGTCACAAACAAAGTCCAGTGGATCCATTCAGAATTCAATGGCGTCAACCGTGTTTAAACTTGAAATTCTTCTCTAATGGGATGTATGTGAGGACAGGATTTTTCGGTGTTTATGAATTCCATGATTTCGGCAAGTTGTCGTTTATATTATTATTTGGTATTTTATTTAATCTCAAATATGCTCAACTTGAATAATGCATCATTGATCCTGTAGTGGTATGATATTGTTGGTGAGGTTATCGATTGAATAAACTAAGTTGAGTTCGTTCTTCGAAAGTGTGATGTGCGGAAGTTTCTTCACCGAAGTAGTTTGTTGCGTTAGGTTCGTGGTGGGGATCAACACTTTATTGACCTCATATCTGAGTTCAGTTAGACCGTACGATGATTGTTATCGAAATATACATGCCATCAACCATCATATATAATTATCGTTAGTGAGTAACGGAATCAAATAAACCAAATACGAGGATGAATTTCTATAAGTATATTTCATACAATCGTTTATGTGAACAGACAATCAGAAAGACCTAGTAAAGGAAGCGAAGCGCGACGATACGAAGTGACGCGCACTGGAGAATGCGAGTGACTTAACGTTTATATTCAGAGAAAAATAAATTACAGACACGTAATGATCAGGATAAGCAATTAACACACATGCGACCATATGAAAACAGTCAGGATTAGTAAATGAATAAGTGGCAAGGTCAAAATGTGGCTTGAGAAGAATGAATAAACTGGTTTGTCCAAAAGTTAGAATAGCCTATGTGTGCTGGACATAGTATCAGCTGCTACAATCGATTGGACAGTACTATTTTATGAAACTCCTCTAAAATTACACACGTGTATGGGTTCTATTCTGAGCACATGTAAAATCATAAATAATGTGACAGTCAATTCATACTAATCTTAGCAATTATTTTTCACACTTGTATGTTTCTTTTTAGTCGTACTAATCGTATTGTACGAATTACAGTGCTCAATTTCCATATGTCTGTGTTTATCTGTTTGATATCAGTTTACCGTACTAAATGTAAGAGTACATAAACCAAGTCACAAATTCATTCAGTAATATGACAACAAGACAACATCCTTGCTTTATTCACTTATTGATCTTTCTTCTCCTTGGTTCATCTGATGTGATACGCCTACTTACTTACTCCTGTTATTCCAAATGGAGCATTGGCCGCCGACCCGGATTCTCCAGCACACTCTGTCCTGAGCCTACTTTTCTAGTTCCATCCAATTCTTGTTCATTTTTCTCATGTCTATTTCCATTTCCCGACGGTATGTTTTCTTTGGTCATCCACTTTTCCTTTGGCCTTGAGGATTCCATGTGTAGCCTTGTCTTGTGACGCAGTTGAGTGCTTTCTTCAATGTGTGTCCTATCCAATTCTAGCGCTTTTTCTGATTTCTTCCTCCGCTGGAGTCTGGTTTGTTCTCTCCCACAGTAGGTTGTTGCTGGTAGTGTCTGGCCAACGGATCCGAAGTATTTTGCGTAGACAACTATTATTCTGGATGACGGTTCTCGTAGTTCTTCAAGTTTCCGCCCCATACAGTAGAACTATCTTGACATTTGTATTGAAAATTCTCATTTCGGTGTTGGTTGACATACCGTTGTTTTGAATTTGAAATGTTCTTCGGTTGTAAACATGCTGCTCTTGCTTTGTCGATCCTCGCCTTCACATCTGCATCAGATCCACCCTGTTCATCAATGATGCTGCCCAAATATGTAAAGGTTTTTACATGTTCCAAATCTTCTCCAACAAGTGTGATTCGATTGGTGTATGCTTGCTTTACCCTTTGTGTATGTTGAGACCTACTGCTGCTGAGGCTGCTGCTGCTACACTGGTCGTCTTCTCCTGCATTTGTTATTGCGTTTGCGATAGAAGAGCCAGATCATCTGCGAAGTCTAGATCGTCCAGCTGCATTCTAGCTGTTCACTGTATCCCGTGCTTCCCCTCAGGTGTTGACGTCTTCATGATCCAGTCGATCACCAGGAGAAAGCGAAAGGGTGAGAGTAAGCAACCTTGCCTAACAACGGTCTTTACTTCGAACGACTTTGTCAACTGTCCTCCATGCACGATTTTGCAGTTGAATCCATCATATGAACTCTGTGTGATATTGACTATCTTCTGAGGCACGCCGTAGTGTCGAAGAAGTTTCCATAGTGTTGTTCTGTCCACGCTATCAAATTGCTTTTTGTAGTCAATGAAGTTGATGTAGAGTGATGAATTCCATTCAACTGATTGTTCCACAATGATCCGTAGAGTTGCTATTTGGTCTGTACACGATCTATCCTTACGGAATCCAGCCTGTTGGTCACGAAGTTGGGCGTCTACGTTTGTCGGTTCTGATGCTCCTCTTAAATTGTTTGTTTACTTCTGTGTATTCAGCTTGTGCCTTGGCTTCTTCTGTTCTTGTTCGGCTTGTATTGATTGCTGTCTTTCTGTCCCTCCTTTCTTGAATCTTATCCAGTGTATCAACAGTGATCCATTCCTTGTGGTGGTGTTCTTATGGCCTAGAACCTCATGACATGTTGAAGTGATTGCCTCTTTGATGCCTTTCCAGTTGCTCTCCATAATAGTTCCTTCTCCGTTGAGTAGATCATGAAAGGCCTGGAATCTATTGCTGAGGACTATCTTGAATTTGTTGAGTTTGTCAGTATCCTGAAGAAAGGCCATATTAAACCTTTGTGCTGTTGTCCACCCCATTTTCCGGTGCTTCTTGCGTTTCAATTTCATCTTGGCGACCAGCAAGTGGTGATCTGATGCTATATAAGCTCCTCTCTTGGTTCGCACGTCCTCCATCGTCCTCCTGAACTTTTTGTTGATGCAGATGTGGTCGATTTGGTTTTGTGTAGTGTGATCCGGTGAAGTCCATGTGGTTTTGTGTATGCGTTTATGTGGGAATATAGTGCCGCCTATGACCAGTTTATTGAAAGCACATAGGTTTGCAAATCTCTCACCATTTTTGTTCGCTTCTCTCAGTCGATGTCTTCCCATGATAACTTCATATTCAGTGTTGTTCATTCCAACCTCGGCATTGAAATCTCCCATGAAAATGGTCAAATCCTTTGTTGGGAATTTCTCAACGATTAACCGCAGCCTATCGCGGAATTGATCTTTGACGTCTTCATTGTAATCGTTGGAAGGCGCATAGCATTGGATAACGTTCATTGAGATACCCTCTTTCTTTGTTTTGAAGGAGGCATTGATGATCTTTGGTCCATGAGATTCCCATCCTACAAGTGCATTTTGTGCTTGTTTGGATAGCATCAGTGCAACGCCTTATGTATGTGGGGCATTTTCTTCTTCATGGCCGGAGTATAACAGGGGCTCTCCTGAAGTTAGTCGTTGTTTTCCAACTTGCGTCCAATGTGTTTCACTGATTCCAAGCACCTTCATGTTGTATCTTTTCATTTCTGCAACAACTTGGCTGACTCTCCCGGTCTCTCACATTGTACGAGCATTCTATTTACCTAAATTAATGGTTGCTCTGGTTGTCAGAGGAAGCACCAGCCTCGTGACTTTCGTAGGAACTCGGCTTTCACCATAAGACATCATAACTCTTTTAAATGAAGACCTTCTAACTCCCAGGGCAGAGTTTAAATAGTTTGAATAATTTTTCCTGGTTAGCGTTTTTTTAGCGAATTCGTTTTCTACGGGATGGGGTCGGTAATCCCATGCCCAAGCCTCCTCCTTTATCCGGGATTGGGACGAGCAGTAGCCTTCAGAGGCACTACAAGCACAGTTGGAAGTATTAGGGATTACACATTTCACACCAGATTTTTAACACTACCTTGTTGAAATTAGTCTGCTTATATTTAGGAAATTAAATCAGAGAACTAGATTTCATTTGAGTCCGATAGTTATCATTGTATTTAGTAAGTTGTCATGGATTTTATAGAAAGGTGTCGAATAAAATCCACTAATGTCGTCGAAATTATTCTGAAAATAATTGACTGTGTTTTGAGAGTGTAAATCACAAAATTTCACCAAATCTGTATCTATTCAGTACAAAGTAGTACCGTAATGAATGAATTGGTGTATGTTAACTACCTGAGCTTCTGATTGAAATTTGTCTTTTTAGGATAATCGAACTGGTTCGACAGTGTTTAAGAACTCATGTGAATTATTGTCTGCTTTTGATCAAATTACATTTGTCAAGTTTAAACACTGTCACCTTCGCACACCTAAGTTGGTTGTGATCTGAAAGATGTTACGCACACTGAAGTGCCATAATAAAAAATATTATCGTTGACTCAAGTGAAATGCCAAAACTTTAACAGATAAATCAATATCATGTTCTTAGTTATAATTGAGTACAGTCATTTGAGATTCACTTTCTACAAATAGAAAAGTGCATTTTGATAGTTGATTGTAGTAATTTTAATAGTTGAATTCATGAGTTGATCTAAGCTATACAATCTCCACAAATCCCCATTATGATAATAATCATTATGTGCTCACTAATAACTGGATTGAAGATGGATCTCCTGGAGTTCTATTAAGAAGCTGTGATCACTAGAGTTCAATCCGTGTCGCGAAGAAACAGGTATTTACCTCAGATAGTGGATGAATGGCTGTCCAAGATCATGAATCGATTTAAGTTAAACATTAACACATTTGGATGCCGGCTCAGTGGTTCAGAGGTTAAGCGTTCACGCGCAAGACCGGAGGCCTTGGGTTTGAGTCCCACATATTGGGTCGTGGGTGCGCACTGCTGAGGAGTCCCATACTAGTACAAAACTGTTCAGTGCATTCAGGTTTTGATTGAGATCTTGAACTGAGTGATGTTAGACCACAATTGAAAACCTGAGAGCACTGGAAGGCCATCTTGTCCCATTGTGGGACTCCTCAGCAGTGCGCACTCACGATCCCGCTCTCAGGATTCGAGTCCGAAGCCTTCGATCTCGCGCGCGAACGCTTAACCCACTAGACCACAATTGGACGGAACGGCCGTCTTGTGCTCCTAGGTTTTCAGTCGGTTCAAGATCCCGATAAATAACTTATTAATCTCCACAACCATATACATTCAGGTTTTCAATGGTGGTCTAGCTTAGATCGACTCATGAATGCAGCTACTAAAATTACTACAATCTCCACAAACCCCCCTTCTGATAAAAAAATGCTCTGTTTATTTTTGTATCTTTTGCTTTTCATTTTAGGTCATCAAGGCAAAAAAATCAGTAAGCTCTTGGTCACATTCTTGTGCTTCACTGTAAACAGTTTATTATTTTTAGTGAAATGATGTTGTTCAGTTTGTCTTACATTGTTCCTACTCGCTCCCTTCCTACGCCTTTGTATATTGTTTGATACTACTTATTTACATTCAGTAGGCAGTTGTATTCCCAACAATTTTTAAACTTATGTTGTAATGCAAGTTGTAGTGTAATATTCTGAAATGTTCACATATACCTATAAAGTTTATTGTACTTATCATTGTATTTATCATTATCATTATTGTACCTTAATCACTGTAGCGGTTATCCAGTTTTTTGCATTTGTTTGAATGCGAAAGTTTCCATATTGTTTGCTCTTGGTTCGGGTTTCGGTTGTTCATAAACTGTTATCAAATTTAGACACAGCTATCAGCTGTCTTTTGTACTATTG